CTGGAAAATATCGCAACAAATCAAACTATCATAAAAAAAGGCAGGCCGAATTACTTAAAAAAATACCTTAATATATTGATTCTAAAATCTTCGATCTATTCCGTGTCTTGTTCGCGTCCATTTTCTGACAGAATTACAATAACCGAGACTCATTCAATTTTTGGGTATATACAGTATATCAACTCATGATAATTAATTTCGATTTGAAAAAATATTTTTTATAGTGTAAATAACCTAAAGAATTGTTCATAACCTACTCAATATTAGATCATGTCAGCTATTGTAACTAAAATCGTTAAAAAATACAATCTCAACAACGAGATGAGTGTATCTGAGCTCAGTAAATACACCTCAGAATTTCTTGAAAACCTTACCGATGATAGAAAACGGAATCAAGGTCGACGACGTCTTCGAGAGGGTTTTAAATTTAGCAGTGATCAGGTAAGTATATTAATACCTAATCAAAGAGGTAGTAAGGCCAAGATTATAAATGTTATCGAGGGCAGTTGCAAAATAGCTATAGCTTCGCCCCCAAAAGATTTGGAAGAGGAGATTATTAGAGAGATAACTAAACGAATCTTACAGAATAGATATGGCTTTAGTGAAGATCAAGTGAATGCCTTATTTGCTTTGCAAAGCGACTTACGTCACCTCTCGATCCAGAAAAACGGAAGTAGCCACAGTGTAACTACCTCAGATAAAAACGTAAATATTGTGATTTCCAACAAACCCTCGAAAGGAATTGAGGAAGAAACTATCGGAGATATGGCGCAACGGATTTTACGGGATAAACTTAGTATTAGAGATGTAAGAGCTGAAGCTTATGCCTTAGCCCTATCAGCAAAAAATGCTAATGTTGGCTCATCACGTCTCACTCGTCTTCGTAGAGAATTAAGGAACCTTAATGCATCACTTGAGATAATCGAGGCTACGAAATTTCCAGATATTACAGAAGATGCCAACAAAATCCAAAGTGTCAATCGGAAAAAGGCTGAAACTAAACGTATCAATTATCCAGATGAATTTACATTAGAATCGGTTAAGGAAAGATTAGATGCGTATGATATTAAAACTTTACCCGATTATCAGGCTCTTGCAGATGTCATGGTGATGCTTTGTATCCGTCCTGCTGAACTTAGAACTTTACGTATTACAGATGCCGGAGTAACAGGATATGCGAAGAATCGGGGTCAACTAGATATACCTAGAAAATTTAGATCTATGGAAAAGAACCAAGAACGTGCCAGAGAATTACTCACTTGGATACAGCGCGCAATATCTTCTGGCCGAATAGGTGATCCAGGTAAGCCAGGAGTTAAATGGTTTAATAAATTTTTAAAAGACTATGATTTAATTCCTAAATATTTACGTAAATTAGGAGCAGTTTATGCTGTAGTGACGAATGGAGCGAACAATATGGCCCACGCTTATACAATTGCTGGGGAAGCACTTCGGCATTCTTGTGACAACCATACTTCTCCAGTACAAAACTACGTCGTGGTAAACTATCGGAAGCGGGGACAAAAGCCTGAAGAAGCGAGACCATTCCATCTCTATAATGATGATAACTAATCACGCTTCTTTGCTTTTACCACGTCTACAGTAAAATCTTCATCATCATTAGATGATTCAGAACTAGACCCAGATTCAGATGTGGATGAGGACTCAGATGCGGTATCATTAAAAATTAGTTTTTTTCTAGCTTGGCACTTTCTTTTGACCTCACATTGAATACGTTTTTTAGGAATATCTGGGTTTGCTATCGAGTTTATAAGTTCTTGATGAGCCTCGGGTTTCACTATCTCCAGTAATTGGTGAAGAGAAATCCAGATTTTCTTATCCAATACTTGCCTACGAATACTGGATACCACCCTATAATTATTCTGAGATTCGTGGTTATTTCCAGGCCCATAAGGGGCGCCTCTTTGAGGCATAATTTCCACTCCCAATTTTTTAGCAAATTCTTCGGTTATAGTTGACCAGTTAGCGCTTGAATCGATAATAGGTTTAGTTGTTGTCGATGTCATAATATTATTTATTAATATGAATAAAAAAAATAAATATATTATTATAATAAACCACGATGAGAATTTTGTCTTGCGAAATCAATAAAGTACCAGTAACAGTTATACTAGATTCCGGTGCTAATTGTAATATTATAGGTGAGGGGGTAGTAAATGGCGTAGGCTTGAAAATCGATGACACCTGCGATGCAGAAATATATAATCCCATTAGCAAAGTCGATGTATTGGGAATAATTGGTGGAATAGAGATTTCGATCCTATCTCAAGGCCCTAAATGGAAACAAGTAAAAGTTACCGATATTTTTGTTTCTAATAAACCCGAACTTGATTCTGTACTGATATTGGGTCAGCCGTGGTTCCAGGAAAATGCAATGAAAGTGGACTTCCCAAATAAAATTCTTACATTGTTTGATGGAACTATTATACAATTAGTTATTGGACCAAAAATTCCACCAACACAACTCAATCGGTCCGTGGATGATTACTTCAAGATGATAAAGGTATATGCTATAGCATTGGATATCGACTTAGATAATCAAGACTTTAAGGAAACTTTCTTTAATGGCCTATTACGAGATAATAAAAAAGAAGTAATTCGATTCGGCTTTAAAAAGCCTCTGAATGAAATAGTTGAGCATTTAAAATATATCTCAACCGGGCCTACTGATATTCAAAAATTTCAATTCGGGAATTTGAGACAAGAGGAGAGTTCGATAATGGATTTTTACATGAAAGTAGAAAAATATTGTAAATTAGCTGGACATAATGAAGATCATCTTAAACATCAATTTATCCGTGGATTGTCACCCGAGAATCAGATAGAAACCAGAAGATGTGGATTGGACCTTCCATTAGATGAGTTAGTAGAAAGGCTGAGCACTTTGGAGAATATCGAGAAAATTCAAAGTGGTGTATAGTGGAGCTAGTGTCTCTGACACATATCTTATTTCTGCGCTCAGTAATTGTATCAGAGAGATTGGCGGGATTAATCTTAATCATTCATGGTTTACAAATAATTTTATGTAGTAGCAGAGAATAGGTAATTATTTGCCGAGTTATTTTTTCGGTTATAATATATATCATTAAATAATATTTGACATGGTTTTCATAAAAACAATCGTAGAGGGAAAAACCCCAGTAAAAGCATTAATCGATACAACATCTAAATCCAATATTATTAGCAAGCGCTTGTATAATAAGCTTGAAGAAGATTATGGGTTAGAAGGTATATCCGATGATGATTTGATAGGCAAAGAAATAAAATGCTTAGATTTGCAATTTCGGTATAAAGGAAAGTGGCGAAGCTTAGATGGTACCGAAGTAATAGATTTTCAAATTCGCAAAAATCCATCATTTGATTTGGTGCTAGGACAGGATTGGTTATGGATGCGCGAAGCAAAAATTAGCTTTGGATTTTCTCTGGAAAATTGTAAGCGCTATGCTAAAATTGAGATAGATGGTATGAGTATCCCATTAATCGAAGAAGATAGCAGACCTACAGGCGACTCTTCGAGCCATAAAGCCAGCTCCACTAAAAATAACTTATCTATTGCAGAGCAATGGGACTTTGTCCCTAAATCAACGGAATCTAAACCTGGTCTAGCTCAAGAGGAGGTTATAAACATAATCAACAAAATTCTCTCAGGTGCTCAAGATATTAAACACCAAAAGAGCCATCGCGGAATATTTCACAATATACCTCCCGCACCTCCAACACCCAGAAGATTAAATGACGATGTTTCCAAAAATAGCGGAGCTGGTAAGATTAAGAAATATCTTAAAATAGATTTAAGTGATGGGAGTGGAAAGCTTTCAATAAAAACACACCTCAATAATATTTGGAAGTCGGTTCATTCTATAGAAAATGATATAGAGTATGGAGTTTTTGAAAAACTTCGTATTATTGAGTATGAACTAAGTTGTATAAATAAAGCAAAGCTACCATGGATAAAATCTGAGACAGATCCTTCTAAATCATCCAGCTCTGATTCAGAATCCACAGATTCAGACTGGTATGATCTCGACCCAATAAAACCCCGAAAGAATCGTGTTCATGTTAAAAAGAAAAAGGTTGCTTCTCCTATCCGAAAACATCGTAAAAAAAAGCGTGTCAACTATGTCCACATTCCAGAGTAGTGATCCCTCCAATCAGAATAATTAAAAAACCGTTAACGGTCGGAAATTTATCAACCAATCACATCACGGGTAGGATCGACATGGAAGTTCGTGGAACATGCCAAGAAAAAAATAATTACGATTGATATGTTTACAATATATGCGAAAATCTTTATTAATCCAGATAACCAGGCCCTTTGGGCGCCTCTTTGAGGCATGATATATTTACATCGGAGAATCGTGATTAAAATTTATTGCCGAAGGCAGTCACAAGGTGGCTATATAACACGAGATAATAATTCTAGACTATCCACATAACATTTTTACTTTAGTGTACTATTCAGAATCGGATAACGGATCTTCAGCCTTTAAACCACGTCGGGCACGCGACAAATCTAAAAGAAAAATAGTTGATTATTAAGATCTGTTTTTTAACCCGCAAGTTATAATAGAATTACTTACCGATATGCCCTCTCCTACAATCGGTGGATGATGGTGGAACTCGAATCTGATTGGCTTTCGGCCTGTCGAGATTGATTATCCGGTTTAATCCATTCGCATTATTCAAGTCTTGGTGGAAAACCGTAGGAACAGCCGATCCATTCACATCCCGCTCAATTCCATCTTTTCGATCTTTGTAAATCTCGGTAAAATTACGCAGATGGTGGAAGAACATACTATGGACGAAATATACGACGCTGTGCCTTATCCCTCTCGTGACAGGAAAATTGCCATGTAAAAGGAGCCGTGAGGAAAATGCAACGACTTGTCCTGGACGAAGTGGAACAATAATCTGGAGTTGCGGAAAGCAAAGTTCACCCCCCTCGAAATCACCAAGAGCGACTAAGCAACACAAAGAATTTGGTTCGTCATGCTCATCCCAGTGAAAATCGCTTATAGTATTAAAATTAATCGCGATCATAGGGAAGATGCCGAAAAGTCGTGGCGCAAATACCCCCCATTCCAGCTTGCTTAATTTCTCGTACAAATTCTGATAATATATTTTAAGAAATTCATTAATACAATTCGATAATGGCTCGAGATTATGGATCAAATCGTTGACGCATTCTTGATGATCGGTGTTATGCGCACTCGCCGTATTGGAGCTGGTATAGGGGAGGGGATTATACAAAGTATATGCGCCAAAATGTTCGATAAAATTTTTCCAGAATTCATCGCTTCGATGGGAGGGATTGTTTAATGTATGGAAATAGTAACTGTTTACGGCGTCTGTTGCTTGCGTTACGGCATTTGGGTTATTAAGTGCCCCAAGGTGAATTAAAGTTCTGCCTTCAACATCTGTGATGCATTCCGATTCCAGAATATCGCGAAGCTGAACGTTTTTATTAAGCGAATGAAAATCCCCCCCGTGCGGATAATATTAATCTGGCCTTCTCAATTCGGGAAATATATGCGGTGGCTTTAATCAAGGCGTCCTTGCATTTATTATTTTGAAAATCTACCGGTTGGAGCATTATCCATTTTGATCGAAGATGACGACGTACATCCCTCCTTATAACGGGTTCCTCCATTCCCAACCAGCGACCGAAAGCGACCCATAAGCGTTTATTTTTTTCTTCACCGTTATGAGATAAAGATTCGGCATTACCTTTCCCCATTCTAATTATTTCATTGATTAACTTGAGAAAATTTGATGGGACGTCAAATAGCTGAATATTATTCGATAACCCGGCCTCTCGAATTAACGTTTCGATTAACAGATCTTTAGTTGAAATTTCTTCACGAGTTTTGATACCCCCCGATGATATGCGATCTAATAAACAAAGTGGAATACTTCTCCATTCTTTTTCAATATATTGAATTTTATCACATGTACATAATCCCCGGGTTGCATACTGGGTCCGGTGCTAATGATAAAAAATATTTTTAACATGAACTAGTATAAGACGCAAATCACTGGGAAAACGGAACTGTACTCGGTTGCTAGCTTTTGCGGATTGAACAAACCATCAAGCCAGAGTTATGAGCCACCGGAACGGTGATTGTGCCCTTTCGAACACACAACATACTAGGTATACCCATACAATGTAACTTAAAAATGGTTGACCGATCATTTGCGGAGCAAAGACACAAAAACAACTGACACGAGGACAATCCTGCGTTGAATACACTAATAGGGCTAATAAGAAAAGTATATACTCGGTTTGGGTCAAAGATAATGCAAGGTGTGTCGAGTTTTATTTCGGGAGGAATATCGTTTATTGACATTATGGTTGGTGTATGCTCATTTCGCTCAGCTGGTAAAGTTGATTTTTGTTCCGTATTAAGCCTACGTTTTTTATTGTAGCGGACACTACGTGACAATTTCTTAGGTGGTTTCTCTTGCGACATATTTATATAGGTATGTGAAGAAAAAAAAAACACAAAGGCAACACTATTCGACGAGCCGTTAGGATTTTATCCTAGAGCCGATGTCCTACTCAAGAAGAATAGCGTACACTTTCACTGAAAAAAAAAAAGAAGCGTTGGCGATCACTGATAATCAAGATGAGGCAATATATTTTGGCTGTGTATTACAAGCATATAATTAGTCCTGCTATTTTCCCGGAAATTATTAACCAATCACATCACATAGGAAGCGACATAGAAGCTCGTGAAACATGTGTAAATCTTTTTTTTTTCTTCGTTTATATTAGCTGAAAAAAGCTTCTTACTATACATATTCTCATGATAAGGACAAGCTAAAATGAAACTCGAAAAGGCAATAATGACAAAAGGCCTGTTGATTCTTATCAGTACCGTTATCAGAAATTAGGAGTTATGAAGCTTCGAAATCCCCGCAATTCCCAGATCATCGTTGCATTAACCAACTTCGTTGCGATCGCCGAGATAAAAGGGATTTCATTCATTGCATCTATGACTCATTACTCCGCATATTACATACCTTGGCGTTTAGTTACATATGACAATACTTTTTATGGAGACTGAATTGTGGCAGGTTTTAAAATTTCTCTATTTCTGGTATTTATATGATTCTACTATTGCTATGAATCGGAGATTTGTTTGATAAAGTAGTCAGTAACATGTCAGATAATTCTAGCAAGTTCAAGGTCGAGGGGATATATAAATAAGCAGGTTTAGGGAGGCTTTATTTCTTAGGATACCTCATATCTCGTACAACGTCTTCCCACGAATTTTAACACTTTATATTAACTTACACTAAAGGTATGATTGTTTACGGTAAATACCTATGAAAGCGAAATTTCCACTCACTATGGATTTTATATTTAGGAAACGCAATAATGGCTACTATTAGTCTCGAATGCCTTATTAATCCCGTTCACGCATTCGCCGGTCTTCCAAGAGATGCTGTTATTCAAACAATTACAATCCCCAGTGGGGCGAGAGACGATGATCTTGAAACTGAAATTCGGAACCAGTTACCACCTCAATTTAAAAATGTCCCTTTTATTATTCGTGCATTCCACCCCGGTGGTGTAAGATATAGAGTTGTGCAACCGCAGACTTTGATTTCCGATTATTTCAAAGAGGGTCCTCCCGCAGGTGTTATCCACATCCTTGTAGAATCCTAAGCAGAATGTATATTTGTATCTGCCATATTACGGGCAATGTATTTCGTTTCGCAATGCTTTGCATGGATTTTATCCTATAATAAAACAACGACGCGTTAGGTGTGATTTCAGTAGTTTCATCGTGTACATTATCTCCTGATCAATTCGTGTAACTTTTATCGCATGTATATAAACCAGCAATCACCCAAAAATAGATGCGATAAAAAATTTTTTATTTTTCACTTGCATCGCATTACCTAGCTTTTATTAGCAAATTCTCACATATAAAAGTAACATGTCTTCATACGCTTCTTCACCTTCCTCACCTATTTCTACATCCTCTACTTTGACGGAAGAAAGGTCAACTCGCACGATGGCAGACGTTGTGAAAGATCTAGATACAGAGGAGCTAATCGAATATCTGCGGAAGAAAGATTTGAAGCTTAAGGAGTCACATTTCAAGATTTTCCGAAAAGAAGAGATCACTGGTTCCGCATTTCTGGATATGACTAAAGAAGAGTTTCGTGATATTGGATTTGCATTGGGACCTGCAAAAATACTTGCAAAATTTATCGAAAGTCTAGATCAAAAACTACGAAGCTTCTCATCATATAAAACTCTGGATGAGTTAAAAGACGTGCTCCGAAAATATAAGGTTAATGGGGAGGATATAACAAGCATCAAACAATTCAGTCCAGGTATGCAATACTTAATTTTATTTTATTTTCTTGGCATAATTTGGGCGAACCAAGTTCGCTGAAATTTCTATTAAAAAATAATGAACTCTGCTCTGGCATTTTCCAATGTATAGTTTTCGAGGAAATCGATGATGACGACAAAGCCCTCGAACAGTGCATGAACGAAATAATACTACGATTAACGAATGTAAAATCAATGATAGAGGCTAATGAGGCGAC